TGACAGGGCTCTGTGTATTTGCGCTGGTGCTCAAGCAGGTGGGAAGCAAGTGTTGAAGCCTTTCCCACATTCAGAGCACTGATGTGTCTTCTCCCCGCTGTGGATGCGCTGGTGCTCAGCCAGGTGGGAGGAAGTGATGAAGCTCTTCCAACATTCAGAACACTTATATGGTTTTGTGTGGATGCGCTGGTGCCTAGACAGGTGGAAGGATCGAATGAAGCTCTTCCCACACTCAGAGCACTGATATAGCTTCTCACCGGTGTGAGTACACTGGTGTCTGGCCAGTTGGGAGGAACCGGTGAAGCTCTTCCTACACACAAGGCACTGAAAGGGCTTCTCACCTGTGTGAAGACACTGGTGCGTGGACAGTGTGGAGGGATTGGCAAAGCTCTTCCCACAAACAGAGCACTGATACGGCTTTTCTTCCCTGTGTGTATGTGGTGGTGTCTGGTCAGGCTGGAGTGGGTGAAGCTCTTCCAAGACTCACGGCACCAATGTGGCAGATCCCAGTGTGATGGGCATCTGAAGTTTTTTCCAGACTCAGGGCAGGGGTGGGCTCTGGCCTGGGGCTTAGCAGGGAGCTCCTGCTTCCCTCTGAGGCCCTCCCCAATGGCTTGGCTCAGATCCAGAGTCTCTCTCCAGTGAAAGTTTCCCCTTCTAGCTGTTCAGCCCCACAAATCCTTCCCTGCACCCAGGGCTGTCTCTGGCTTCTGTCCTTTCTCCACTCACACCCAACAGGAGATGGCACCTGCTTCACTGCTACATTCTCCTTCTGCTGTTGGGACCTTCTCTGGTTTTGGGGCCACTGGTCCTCCTCATGTCTTAGGGACTCTGTCTCACCCAAACTCCCTGATGAAGTCCAGTGAAGCTCCAGGTTTGCTCCTCCACTCTGCTCAGCAGCCAGGTGCCTCCTGCATGGGGAAGAGAAACTCCAGGTTAGTCCCTGTCCTGCTGGCACAAGCCAAACGCTGCTATTCCCTCTGCTGCAATGGGGCTGTGAGCGCGACTGGGCCTTGATACTTGTGTTTCCTTCAGAGAACAAGCTCTTCCTGCCAAACCCCAAGTGCTGGGGGTGAGGAGAGGCACGTCTCTGGGATGGGCTTATGTTCCTTGCCCGGTAGAGGTCCAAGCCAGATTCTTAGGGTTTCTCTGCCCAGCTGTCAGCCCCATTGCCTCAAACACTGTTGCAGGAAACCCACGTAGGACACGTGTTAGGAGAGGACCTAAATGGCCTCCTGTTTTAATGGGACCAGGAGACCGGAAGCAGAATCAGCATAAAGGAAGAAGGAGGTTCTCTGAGTGCTGCTCTGGTGCATAGCACTGGCGGGTCCAGGAGGAGATGATGCTGAACCCTCCACCTGGCTGAGCCAACACGCACACGAAGCTAAAGTGCATTGGTAAGACTGTTCTACTGTCCTTGCCTGTGATCTCTGGCAGTCACCCAGGCAGCATCTCGCATCAGGGTGAACAGCATTGCTGTGGATTTCTGAGGCTCACCAGCAGTCAGGAGTGTGTTGGAAGAATGGCCCTATACTGGAGCAGCTGCTTCTCCTTGGTAGAAAAACCTATGTGGTCCTTCCCTCCTGCCTTTAAAATGGAGAGGACACAAAGCTGTGGGTCTCTCTCCTGCAAGGAACAGGGCTGTGCCTGCTACGAACGAAAGCTCTGGAGCACAGAACAAGCCCAAGGGGCTTTCCTCTACTGATGAGGTCCAGGTGGCCTCCACATCACAGGAATCTCAAATGGGACCAAGGCTTTGGCATGAACTTGCATATGGCCTCTGTGCTATGTCCGAGGCTCTGTGATACTCATGGCCCAGAAATGAAAAAGGCATAAGCCATGGGAGATTCACTTCTGTCCATAACAAATTCCACACATATACCCACCCACTCCACCAAGGCATTCAGTGCAGCCTCAGACCATGATTTAGCACTTCCTGGGCTCCAGACTGACCTGACCAGAAGACACCAGGCAGAGCCGCAGTCTCTCTCACCATGCTGGAAGGGCAGCACAGGCCAGGTCTGCAGGTTCCAGACCCCCTGTCACTGTGGCCATGGAGTGTTTCTGAGAAGGGACAGGCACAACTCACCTGGCGACAGATACTCCAACTTGAGGTTGTCCCCATGGTCCTCAGACCCACAGCTCCTCCTGTCCTTGCTGGATGTGGTAGATTAAGTCAGGTGTTGAACATCGATATCCTGTTTGCGGGGAGTGGTTAAAAAACATCTGTGACTGGGTACTGGATGGCAAATAACCAGCTGGCATTTTGGGAATGCATCCAATGAACTCAAGGATTTTATTGAGGCTTTGAAGGACAAGGGAGGATTCACGCTTAGGAGGAAAGAAAAAGCACCACAGGGGGAAGCCATTGATAGATGATGGCCTTTGTCAGTAAGGTGGTGCGGGGGGTGGTTGTAAGAAACAAAGCACTGACCACTCTGAGGTATAAAATGGGTGCGAGACTGACAGAGTTCCCAGGAACAGGGGTGGACATGCAGCGACCTGTCGTGGTAGAGAGCAGAAAGATGAAATCTCACTGGTTTACAAGACACCAAAACAAAAAGAAGCTGGACACACTGGTGGCTGGATAACATCTGTCTTCTCAGAGTCATTCCAGGCAAAGGAATGGGTATGAGTTTCTTCTCTGGGAAGGTTTCAAGCGAGGCCTGGCAACAGGGAACAGAATCCAGAACTGGCTGACCATAACACTTCTCTCTGGGAGAGAGGGCCATTACCCAACAGGGAAGAGGAAGGGAAGATGTTATAAGAACTGCAGTGGCAACAAAAGCAATCATCCCATCCAGTGGGAGGATCGAACAAGAAGGGGAGTTGAGCACATACACTTTGCAAATCCTGCAGGGTTGGAAACAAAGGTACCAGGAGCCCTGGATACGGAGAACAGAAGGCAAGAGACACCTGTTATAGCATGTGAAAGCCCATAGTAGGAATGGTCGACATAGTCTTTGCTGAGCAACAAAAAGCCTTGGAGAGCAGGAAACATCTTTACCCAGGAAAATGAGAGCTCCGCAGTTCCTCAGCATCTGGTCCTGGTACAGCCCCTTCTGTACATCCTCCAGCAGCTCCCACTCCTCCTGCGTGAAGTACACAGCCATGGCCTCAAAAGCCTCCCAGAGCTGCAGGCACAAGCGTTTCCCCATCAGTGTCTCCTGTTCCAGCTGCCTCCAGGATCCCTTTGCATGACAGCTCTCTGTAGGCTGGGCCATGGCACACTGGGTGCAAAATCCCCCCTTATTTACTGACACGGGATGTGGGTGCAGCTGTGGACATAGGCGTGCACGTCTGCCCCGGCCCAGCTCATTGTGTTCTATGTTCTGGGCCCTTTGAGGCAGCACCTTTAGAGCCAGGCCTTACCGTACCAGCACCCCTGACAATTGGCACTGGGAAGAGGGTGCTAGTGAACACCAGCTAGGTGCGGTTGCAGCCCCAAATCACCAGCAGCTTGTTGCTCCTCCTCTCTCTTTGCTCCCCAAACACATGACAGCGCCTCTGGCTCCTCCCAGGCACAGCCCCAGTATGGATGAGCTGGTGCCGGGCCAGGTGGGTGGACTGAGTGAAGTTCTTCCCACACTCCAAGCACTGATGAGGCTTCTCCTGTGTGTGGATGCGTTGGTGCCGGGCCAGGTTGGAGGACTGGGTGAAGCTCTTCCCACACTCCGAGCACTGATGTGGCTTCTCCCCTGTGTGGACACGCTGGTGGATGGCCAGGCCGGAGGAGTCAGTGAAGCTCTTCCTGCAAATAGAGCAATGATGTGACTTCTCCCCAGTATGGATAGGCTGGTGCCGGGCGAAATGGTAGGACCTAGTGAAACTCTTCCCACACTCAGAGCACTGATATTGTTTCTTCCCTGCGTGGATGCACTGGTGCTGGGCCAGGCTGGAGGACTGGGTAAATATCTTACCACATTTGGAGCACTTATATGGCTTCTTCCCTGTGTGGATGCGCTGGTGCTCAGCCAGGGAGACAGAGCAGGTGAAGGTCTTACCACATGTGAGACAGCGGTGCTGATCCTTCCCCCTGTGCAAATA